GGGAAGTTTCCGCCTGGCAAGCGTTCTCCATATAAAAGACTACGAATGTCCGTTTAACAACACAGCGACTTGGCGGATGTGGCTCGCCACAACATAAAGTGTATACCTGTTACCTATCTAGATGACCATACCCATTTTACGGACTTAAACTATTCACCTCGAAGAGTTTCTGTGATCCCTTCTTGCAATTGTGACCCGAGCAAACACAATCCCAAATGTAGCGTTACAATAACAAGTTCATTGAACATATCCACATGCACACATACCTGGTTGGTGGCATCCATTTCCGCAGTTGCCTATTACTGCTGCATCAATGAGAACAGCCACAAGACGCCTGCGCCTACAGATGGATCGTGAGTGGCCTGCGCTGTGCCACCCACACACGCCATATCCAGTGTAAACCCGAAGGAATAAGCCCGATAGACATGCAGATGGGAGCCAAGTTTCATCAACGGAGTCGGCCCACACTCCTTCAACATGTACAACAGCATTCCTATCCGCCTTGTGGAGAATAATACGTACCAGACACACACAAGGCGGTAGATGAGTCGTAGTCCTCTCAATACTGGGTGGAACCATTATTTAAGCCTACCACGGCCACGAGGACCTTACCCCCGCCCATCCACCAAAAAAAATCAGAAGTGTTCTGTTACCAGTAATCTATGTCGTGACTGTTAGACTAGTAGGCAGCTTGTTACCATTCCTTTCAAGCGCAGCCACACTGGGGATATCAAACAACCAACATAGAGTTTGAACGAAAATAAACACGCGAAATTGACACGAAATATGCAACAGAATAACAGAAGTAAGCAAAGCAGATAAAGAGGAATATATTTTATCCAGAATATGACAAGGTAGCTTAAGTGTAAGTCAGTGTGGCCCAGCTGCAATGAAGAGGCATGATCGAACAATGGAACAATCGTATAACACGGATAAAAAAGACAAGGCTTGACAAGTCCCGTGGGATGGTTTGTGGGAATAAGGTTATTTTGAGTAAGTTACACAAAGTGAAATCACATCTGTGGACTCACCATATTATCCACGTTAACACATAGGTATATCCGTCTAACTCGATTTCGTGAGGTCGGTGAGTACAATGTTTGTCTGCGTCTTGTCGTCACTCAGTGAATAGAAATCAGATCAAGTAATGTAAATGGTGTAAAGTAGCGTCGAGTTGTTTTTTTAAAATAGGAAGCGTTTGTGCGGAAATGAGTATAGTCGGAAGATCGTTCCACGGTTGACAAACTCGAAGAAAAAACTAATTCCTGCTGAACTCAAGTCGACTGTATTGGGTGGCAAGTTTCAATTTATGATCCCTCAATTCTGTGTTGCAGCTAGGCTTCAGGAGGTGGCGGCAAGCATGACCGGAGTTTTTCAAAAGCTGGAACGCCAGGATAAGGTCACACCGTAGACGGCAATATCTTCCGCTTTACACTCCCAGGACACCTTGGTATTGTAGGTAGGACAAACCTTTCATATTTTTCGTTGCCCATCGCTGTACGGTCTCCAGTGCAACTAGGTCGAGGTGTAACCAGGGTTGCTAAGCCTGGATCGTCTACTCTACATGGGGCCTCACATACGCATTGAGCTTTTGGGGGGAGATGGAAGGATCAAAGCTTCCGAATGCCCTTCGTAACAGACCAACATGTTGGTTCTCAGTTTTGGACGCCTTCAAGGATTGGGCAGAACAGCCGAGGTCGTCTTCGATTACCAACCTAAGGTATCGCTCTTTGAGGCCATGTTCAGCATATCGTCTCCAAGCTTATATGCGAACGTGGGCTTTTTGGCGGAAATGCATGGTTTTGTACTTGCTCGTGTTAAATGAAAGTACATTTACCTTTGACCATTCAGTAGTGCAGTCTAAGTCTCGTTGCAACACTTTGTGATCTTCCTGAGAGTCGATTACCCTCCATATGTTGATGTCATGGGCAAAAACAGGAACTTTGTCTTGATGACACTCGCAACGTCGTTACTGAAGAACAAGAATAACCGCGGCCCCAACACCGACCCTTGTGGCAAACCGCAGTCCACACCAATTGGATCAGAAAATGAACTAACTCGGAGTTGAAGGCGCGGCTGAAAGAGAAAATTTCTGATTCATCCAAGGACAGGATTTCATACTCCGTATGCTTGTAGCTTTCGGAGAAGGATACAGTGATCTATGCGGTCGAATGCTTTGGAAACGTCTAGGTAGATGACAACAGTGCCAGTCCCTCTGTGGGCTATCTCGGTCCAACTGCCACTGACAAGCAGTAGGTTGGTTGTATATGACCAGTGCTGACGGAATATATGTTGCTCCGATGCTATGATGTTAGAGCTTTCAAAGCAGTCAATTACAGCCTCAGCTATGATCGATTCCATCATATTAGAGAGCACCGGGAGGATAGTAACTGAATTAGAGTTGGCTGGCTCTGAATGGCTAACATTTTTGAAACTCGAGGTAATGATGCTTTACTTCCACATCTTAAGGACCTGCTGTTCGTCCAGGCATCTTTGGAAAAATCTCGTTATTGGTTCAGCTATGCTCCTAGCTGTCACTTGCAGTGCTCTCGGGGGAATGTTATCAACTCCGGGGGAAATATTGGTGCGCAACGATAGCAGCTTCCTCAAAATGGTCGCTGAACTGAACGTGATGTGTGTAAAGTCTGGTATCTAGGAGAATGAGACAGGTATGTTACCAATGCTGGGAGCACGTCGGAAAAGCGGAGCACATTGTAGCCATAGAAGGTTGGCTGCATCCTCGACGGTTTGATCACATCCATCCGCTGATATTAGCGGGGGGACATCACGTTGCACATTCCGAAGGCTGTTCACATGTCTGTACAGAATCATTTTGGCAACACAAAACTTTTCTGCTAGAAAAAGCTGGTGTATTAACTTGTCTTTGCGCACAAGTGTGGTACAGTGATTACGATGCACAACATAGTTAGTCCAGTGGTCAATCCTTGGGTTCGCTCTATACATGTATGCCCCCACAACCTCAGCATGAGGCACGCACACATACCTACATATATAGTTAAGCACACAATTCTAGTTTGCAACTGATTAGCTCACAACATTTTTGAACACTTACCGATCCTTCGTGTTAGTATTACCATGATCATGTTTACGAAGGAGTGCCTCGCACATTCGAAGATAAACTATTTATTTATTTCATGTTGAGCCCAAATGAATATAGCAAATAGCATTAAGCGAGCCGCATCCAGGCGAATCGACCTAATGGTGTGGTAGACATGTTAAGGTCCCCGTACTCCCAGTCGGACAGCTAGATCGATGTTCAGTGTAGTTCAGAACCGTCCTATTGTGTCCTTCGCACCCATGGTTGCATAACAATTTTACTGCACACCGTGTGTTTGTTAAATTTTCCGAGTTGGCATCATTGCGTACAGCTGTTGCTTTTCCCAATTATTTTCGTCACTGTGCAAGCCAGGTCTGCACGAAGAAAGCACTGTGCTTTGAATGTCCTTTGGTTTATTAATCTCAGTGTCAGCGCACATCGTAAATTTCCTGCTGTCGAAACGTGCTTTGTGGATTAACTTCCAGTCCCTCTGTCTTCCCTGCGAAAGTTCCGCCGTCATAGGAATTATTTGCGGAACTAGGTATTGCTGATTATCTCCAAGTTATCGATACAAACATATGGACGGGTCAATGGTTAAATAGGGCAGAAAACTAAAACTTGTTTCGGAAAGGAAAATAAAGTGTTCAGTAGCGATGGGATACGTTTATTGGGATATGGATTTGTGTTAAATTATGCCGTAGATATTCTGCGCGTTCACCAGCATTCAGAAAGTATACCAACACAGTGTTGGTTGCTCCCAAGATCACATATCACAACCTGTTCCGTTCCTGACTGGACTCACCACGTAAGGATAACTGAACCGGAACTCGAAAGTAGGACGTAGATAGTGTTACAAATTGCTCCACCATGGTAACACTATGCCTCTTGCTTGAGCCACCTTTTCAGTTATCCCATGGAAATTATCCAACTAAGGATGAAACAGGTCCAAGATACCGGTGTTCGAAGGTGGTAGAGCCAAAAATATGTGTACTCGAGTGCTGTTTCATTAAGTTGGATGAGAAGCGTAAGAGTAAACAGCCATCGAAGCATGCATAGGGCGTCATAAAACGCCCACAAAACGAGCGCTTCAGGCATGCGCACAATTACTTGTTTACTGAGGTGATTAGCCCAGCCCGCAACTCTGCTGTGTAAGGGTAAGAGGATCTACCGAATAACTACGTCCTTTGACTGCGTCTGTTTGGATAAATACTCGAAAGTTTAGGAAATAAGGTACTGGTTTTGATGTGCGGTGTTGGGATGTCGTAACCTCTTTACTTTGGCATTTTACGTGCAGTTCAATTGTAGTAAATAATCCAAATTGACTTCAACGTAACTCGCGAAGCAACCGCATCCACCTATGGCATTATTTAGCCCAACAGGGCAAAGCGAAGCGCTACGGTCGATGTCGGGAAAACTTGTGAATGATACGTTGGTCAGAATACTGCTTGATTTTCAACTTGGGTTTCCGGCTCCAGTTATACCAACTTGAAGAGCACGACCATTGTGGAGGAAAATCGTACCGCACATCCTTGAGGGCGCAATAAAGCGAAATCCACATTTTCAGGTAATCACGTGGAAACATTTGGACTTACGTAACGGATCAATAAGAAAGTAAAAAGGGCCGCATATTCATATGGGACACCAGTGCTGCTACCGCATGCACCAACCCGACTCGTCGTCATGTCTGTCGATGTAAGGGTCACGTGACCGGCCCTGCGGAACTTATCGTTACCCTGACTAGTATCAATAAGTAGTGTTGAACGCACAAGGCGTACGTTATTACAGATAAATTAAATAAGACCGAGTAGTCAGTAAACTATTCTCAACGTCCTTTACTTTTAAGTAGCTGCACGATACATGATAATAGCGTGAATTGTTTTGGAGAGCTTCAAGCAACCCTTATTAATTCCGGTGATATGTAGCCGCATAATTGTTTTCATTGATGTTTTGTTCCAGAATAGTTTGCTTTTATTTGTCCAACACAGACATCGATGAATGCGTAGAAGGTTTGGCCAATGGGATGCGTGTCTGTGTCGGGGAAGGAATGCGCTGCAACAACACTCTTGGTTGGTACAACTGCACCTGCGAAGACGGCTTTAAACTGGCGGAAGACGGGAGTTGTGTGGGTAAGTTGCACAAGGGATTTTACTCGGGTTATCGACTCATTCGAGTTACACCAAGGCAGTATGTTTTGAAATGTTTAGATGAAGGACACTCGAAAGATGTACGGGACAGCGGACTCATTGCACCTGGCGGAAAATTTAACATAACCATTCTAACATACATTTTACGCATCAAAATACAATGATCCATCTGTTGATCAGTTAGTTCACAATAATAAATAACTGGTTTGAAAACAATTTATGACAACTGACACTACTCTTAATGCAGCAGGAACAAAACTTCCAAAGTAAGCATAATAGTTGCAACATTTCGGACCTGCAGCCCGTTTAACAATACTCGTGTGTAGCAAGTTACAACCAGAAGGTTGACACCATTACATTGAAATCTGACAATATTCAATATGTTTAACCAACTCCTTGGTCAATTTCTACTAACCGTGGACTATATTGATATGTAGAGAGGGCAGAATGATACAGTAGTATCGGTTTGTTTTGTTGAACAACCGTAATGCGTTCACAGAAATGCCGTGGATCCAGATGCTACGATTCGAGACTTCAGGATAACAGTAAATAACAGTGGCGCGGGAAATGTGTTACGGATAAAACAGCGTGGAGAAATTGTGGGTAGAAAACAAGCAGGAAAAATAAGAGGAAAGAACAGCACACACAGGTGACCGAATGTAGAAGCGAAACGGGCTACAGGGATGGGAGATGTTTTCTTACGTTCCATCAAATAATGTAGGGCATCTTGAGTGGCAAGTATCAGCCTGTCCAAACATTTCGATAAATTTTTTCATGCCTTTATGCCACGTCAACGAACGCCCACCTGGTGGTCTCATTCTCTTAAGGTCCGAACGATTACTGCCACTGAATCCGAATTTTAGCATTTTGTAATCCTGAATGGTGTGAGACGAATTTGATGAAAGTACTCATGCACCGAACTCCATCCATTTCAGCTATGCATTAAGGCTGATGCGCAAATCTTTGCTTGCATCACAAACTAAAAATAATTTTCGCGCTTCTCTTAATTGTTGGTCATTAAGTAAATTCCATCACCACCAGCTTACTATATTGGTGAAGCAGGTAGAATAATATTACTGATTTCACGTATGAACTTTAGGAACATAAATGCATCATCATCTTTAGCTGTGTTGTCCTGCATTGTGATGCAGTCCAAATATTTAGCCAACTCCGGTACGGTTTCGAATTCCCTACCCAAATGGACATAAGCTTAAGAGACGGAGCACTTTTGATTTACTTCGTCATCCAGTACATGCAGATATATTAAGCGGACTTTTTCACGATAGCTTGCGAGCTATGTGATGTCAAACTTACAGTTTGCAACCAAACCTTATACCTAAACTTCTCCTGTTAGGATTCACCAGTAGCTCAAATTTCACCCCGCCCCTCGCCATTAAACAGGGTGCTTTTTCCAATTAATTACGGTTAGTCATGCAGGATTGCGGAGATCATCATCATCATTATACACGTTAGTTGCAGGTGGCAACCACCTCAGCTATTGTGCCGCAATACAAAAGACAAGAAATAGAAAACAGTGGCACGCCGGCTGAGCCCCCAGTAACGGATGGACATCGTTCCGGAAAGCTAACAGCTGGCTATCGTGCCGTAAAAAGAGAGTCATATTATGTCTAACAAGTAAGATCGTGATTGGAGGAGGATGCTAAGCAGGAAGGGAAGGATAAAGGAAATCACAACACAAACGCCGGGGGGGCCGCCTTTAAGCCACATCAGCAAGTGTGTCCAACCAAACGTGTTCACTGTCCTTAGGATCCCAGCCAGGCAGTCTGGATGCACCAACCGAGGCCAAATTCGAAGTGAGGATGTTCATCTCTCTCGACAAAGTAATCCCTTGGACTCCCCTCCTCCTCTTCCAACCGCACCCACAACGCGCCAACAATGCACCTCGTGGGAGTCGGTGTGCTGGAATACGCAACACGTGACCCAACCATCGGAGCCTGGTGCGTGATATAATGGTGCTGAGCGGTTCACTCGCTTTTCCTGCACCAAACACGCGACGCCGAACACGCTCATTGCTCACAGGGCGCTCCCACCAGACATGAGCTAAGCTGCATAGGCAGGGATGATCGAATGCGGCTAGCCTATTTATGTCTGTCGACCTGACCAGCCAGTTTAACAACCATATAGGAGAGTTGAACGAACGGCTACTTTATAAACTCTGCCCTTCAGAGTGAGATTAATGTCGCGTCCGCGCCACAGGTGGCGGAGGTTGGCGAAAGCACCTCGAGCTTTTGCTTTACAGTTCGTAACCTCATGTTCAGTCCCACGGGTGCTAATATAGCTGCCCAGGTACTTGAATTCCTGAATGACTTCTAGCAGATCACCACCAAGCGTTAGCGCAGGATTGAGTCCCTGCCAATCTTGGAGAAATACTTTACATTTCGATGGAGCAAAGCGTAGCCCAAAACGATTGACAGCCAGTGCTAATCAGTTCAGGGCTGCTTGGCATCTTTGGGAGCTGTCACAGATTAGGGTAATATTGTCCGCATGCTCTAACTCAAGAAGTAGCTCCACACCTTCTAGGTCAATTCCAGCGAACGCTGTTTCCATTACTTGATCCATAGCGAAGTTGAAGAAGAAAGGTGACAGCGCGCAACCTTGTCTCACACCGTTAGTGATAATGAAGGGTGGCGACAGTTTGCTATAAATCCTCACTCTGCCCGAACTATGCGCGTAAGGCGCTTTGCTAACGTTTATATATTTATCAGGCACACCTTTCCTTAGTAGAAAGTCCCAAACGGCAAGTCGATCAACTGAGTCGAAGGCACCTTTTATGTCAAGAAACACGACAACGGTGGGTCGCCAATAAACATGGCGGTGCTCCAACACTTGACGCAATGTGAAGATGCGGTTGCTGCAGCCCCGACCTCGACGAAATCCAGCTTGCTCTTCACGAATCTGGCTTTCACGAGTGCCAGTCAGTCTGTGGAGAATGATAGAGGCAAGCAATTCAGAGGCAATCGAAATCAGACTGATCCCTCTATGATTGCCGCATTCCAAACGAGTGCTCCCTTGAAAATTGGGACAATGACGGAGCGGTTCCAGTCTATCGGGACTGTCTCCTGCTTCCAAAGTTTTACTAGCAACTCGTGTAAATCATCTACTAGAGCAGGTCCCCCGAATTTGAAGAGGGCTGGAGGAATTCTATCTGCCCCTGCGGCCTTTTGCAATTTCAACAGCCTAATCTCACGTTCGACTTCTGCGTGTGAGGGCAGATCCAAGGAGACGGCCCAGGGAGAAGGGCGCTGAATGCCTGAAGAAGAAAACGATAACTCTAGTTGGTTAAATTGACTTGCAAAGTGTTCAGCTCAAGGCTCCAAGCATTTAGATAGGCTGTGGATCGGCTGCCCACTCTCGTCGCGTATGTTCTCGCCAACACCAGGTTTCCTGCTGCCTGTTTCCCATATCAAACGGAGTAACTTACGATGAATGCCAACTTTAGCAGCTAGTTCCATCTCAGAGGCACGATGAGACAACCAGGTTTCGCGTTCTTACTTCAAGCTATTACATAGTTTTGCCCTGAGCTTTTTGCGAGCCTCATTGTATTCGTTCCATTTGGAATACGTCAGCCAGCATCCATAAGTTTCAGAGACTGTATAGAGACCCAATGTCCGGTTTGGCAATTTGCTTCACGCACGAAGACATGCCTGCTAACAGTAACGTTCTACGAATATGCGACCAATGATCTTTGCCGGTGTTCAGTGGGCGCTTACTCAGCCTGGATGTCAGCGCACTTTGATACACATTCAGAACATCTGGCTTCGCCAGCTGTCTGGTGTCAATCCATTCACATCGACAATGCGGACGTCCACCGAAACGCACCAGGAGGTCGGCACAGACAAGTGTGTGGTCAGAGTCCACGCTCGTGCTCCAAATCGAGCGACAGTTTTGGACACTGCCTCTCTAGCGGTAACTGATCGCGATATGATCGATTTGCGTCCATGAATGGCCCGAGGCTGATGGCCGCCAAGTCACGCTTCTGCGGGTGCTGGGTCGAAAGTTAGTGCTCGCGAGAAAGATGCGAGCATCTTCACACAGCTGTAGCAATCGCTCACCGTTATCATTACGGGAGCCTACACCATGTTGGCCGTCCAGATGAAGCTCATTAGAGGACAATTTTCCGACTTGGGCGTTTAGATCGCCAGCCAGCACCACAGTATCCGTGCTTCTTCTGTAACGAAGGAGCTCGTGAAGTTGCTGATAGAGATCAACTTTTACCGAATCAGTGCTACAGTTTGTAGGGGCGTAAACCGCAATGACAAACAGGCCCCGTTTGTTCCTTGCGAGACTTCGTAGCATGGAACGAACCAGCTAATCTAACGACGCACATCCTGCTGTTTACTGGGATCCAGTCAACCTGGGCAGCTTCCTCCCGTTAACTCAAAGCAATGCCGACGCCAGGTTGACCGGCATTTGAAGCTGCATCATCACCAGACAGGCACAATGAGAATGTGCCGCCAGTGTCTCATGTGGGGGATCTCAGGGTAAGCACGGAGCTCGAATCCTGCAGGCGGGTTTCTGATAAACAGCGAATATCGATCGATAGGGTCTCTTGTGTGCGAGCAAGTGCTTTCTGTTGGCTAATCTGTAGCATAGTGCGCACGTTGAGGCATGCCAGTCTTAGCGAGACACGAGGACTCCAAAGGGAAACGGATGAACTGACGTTGTCCGCTTGCTTGAACATGGACTTGTCGATTGGATTGGAGCGACACCCTGCGATTGTGTGTGATTTGAAATTAGAAGGCAAGCGACTATTGAAGTAAGCTGTGGGAGGGCCAAGAATTGGGGGGATTGAAAATGGGGGGATAGAAGTAAATTTGGAGCCAGACGATAAGGCTGAAGAAACGCGAGAAGGGGTATAAGAAGACGGGAGGCCTGAGCGGTAGCATCCATACCCCTATCCACCCTGCTCAATGCAGCAGATAGGGTGCCGTTTATTATCCTCTGCGACGGCCAGAGCATCAAGAAATTGTTGTAGAAAAGGTTCATTGTATTGCGTGAGCAGAATACTGTAAGGTTGCCGAGGCGTAGACAGGAGAACGATTAGGTTTCTCAGCCAAAGCCTTTGGTTCAAAATCTTACCGCAAGGCATCGGGTTTTTTGACACTGGACTACAGAGAGCCCGTTTTATGAAATAGAGATCCACCTTCATTGCAACCCCCATCCTGGAGGACCAGAAGGCTGAGTTTGTCTGGTCTCTAACCATTGGCCAATCTGGTATGAATGGCTCTGAAGGTGCATAAAAGCACCACCCAGCATAGCTCAGTGGATCACTGAGGCACGCAAACCATCGCGACACGTTAAGGTCCAGCCTCATTGCGATGGATCCAATGGGACTGGAAAAGTGTCATCTAATTTATCCAAATAGTCCATTCTTTAACCGTATATCACCTTATCACTAGAATGCAGATTATTGTTTTCATATCAGGGCGGCAGTAGTTGCGTCATAGTGGAATTAAAAGGTAGATGTACAAATGTGATAGGTAGGCTGAAAAAGACAAAAAACACTCGTGATGGAACTCCGCTTGTATTTTTTGCACTCCCTTTTTCCTTTTGTGTAATAAGCTTTCGAGAATTTTCAGAAACAGGCATTTGCACAATCGGCTGTCTCTCAAAACTGGAGAAACAAAGAGGGAGAAAATGTTTTTCAATCCAGGGACCTGAACCAGAAATTCCCACCGAACGAATATTAAGTAACCGGTCTAAGGCATTCATTAATCGTGTTCTGTATTACCCTTCTTCTGTTCGCTGTTCCCCAACAGACATCGATGAATGCATCCTCCCACGAAATCCCTGCCGAAGCGGACAACAATGCAGAAATATCATCGGCTCGTACCAGTGCGTTCGGCAAGTTCCATGTGGTTTTGGTTATGTGCTTAACCCGAAAACGCAACAGTGTGAAGGTGAGAATCTCTGAGTCTTCCGGACACTGCCCTTTACTCTTAATTTTATATGTATAAGTGACTACATCAGTTGTAGAAAACAATGTTTGTCATTCACCGCACGTGTATCCCTTAAGGAACATAGTACTGCAGATCACGTAGCCATAATGGTGATGATTACAAATTTTGCTTGGGAATTGAGAGTTAGGCTTTTTCACCCTATTGAGTGGTCTGCGTCTCAATTTACTGTTATCCGATCAAGCAGTGCCACCACTCATGAAATCAGAATTACTGACTTTGCTTAGCCAGGGTCGAAGTGTCCACAGTTTAACCGATTAGCCGAGTAACTACCACCCAAGCAGAGTTTAGTCGTCTGCTCCACTGGCCTCATCAACGCGCTACAAACGCGAATCGTAACAGTTGGCATGCGCACTAGACTTAGTAAAACAATTGGCTGGAGAATTTTCCAACTCTTTCACTATAACTCACTGAACTGTTTGCCAGTTTGAAATGAAGTTGGGTGTGTGAAGAAAGTTAGTTGGAATAGTGTGTGTTTCGATTCACCAAAGCACTAGTACGGCTGCTGTCGGTACCCGGTTTCCAAACCAGAACAAGCTTCGTAGCGTTAGCATACGGAAACATGTTGTTAATGCAAATGTTATCTTTCTGTACAGGTGTTGATAACTTATTATACCTGCGACCAATGCACTTTATGGTATCATTGCAACGTAACCATAAAATGCTTATTACGATAATCCACCCTCCCTTGTACCCACATGCAAGCAACTGAAGTTGAACTCCTGCAATGTGTTTAAGTCCGAAATTCGTATGGCTGTTATCATTGCCATGCTTGTGATTGGCTGAGACCTGATACCAGAAGCATAATGTTTCCTGCAGCGTTCTGCCATCAATCACAAACCAGAATAACACCTGCTGCAAAGAAATTGTAAGATTTTGACTCTTGGCAGCCAAGTCTGCCGTGTTGAAGCAATTTCAACTAAAATGCACTTAGGAATCAGACAATGAATCAGGTGTACTGAAACAAGTAAGCACACCAGCTAAAAAGCCTACTGGTCATCAAGTACCATCTCTCCCAGGGTGACTGAAAAATCTACTATACTTAACAGATATAAACCATCGGTTATCGTGAGTCACTCGTAGTTATGTCTGTTCACAGTTATTTGAATAAGTCTCCCTAACCTTGTTGCTTATGATGTTTAGGTCACTTTAGTGCATTGTTGACTATACCTCAACATACTATGGAATAGAATGTTAACAAGCCTTAGGATACTTAATACGTTTTTTGTGTCAAATCATTCGTTAACCTTAAGTAATTGGGATATTTGAATGATAAGCACACTACGCTAGAAACAGAGCTACACATGTTAAGGGTTATTGACGAGTGTCGCACGAATTCTGTTGTATCCAATATTTACCTCTTACGCCATTGGGACCTATCGAAAACTTCAGTCATATATATATATATATATATATGCATATATATATATAAGCATATATATATAAGCATATACTATGAATTTCTGAGGTTATTTCATCTGGACCGTACGTTTATGAGTCAACTGCAATTTTTCTAATTACGGTATTCGAGTTCGCGTGGGTTAATTTGTCATTAAATCTGTTAACTTTCTTAGGCTATATTTAGTTACCGTAATATTATCAGAAACTATCAGTGTCAATCTGGTTCCATCACAATAAGCAGTCTTCTCTAAATCTAGGGGATGAATTAGGCCATGGAACAACCGTAGCCTATGGTTTCGGAATTCCTGCACAGCCATAGTTTTAATCTAGTTACATACATTCCACGGCATGGCAAATTGGTACATCACGGAGCGAGTACGAGTTCGGATTCACTGCACAGTATGTGTTGTATTATAAATTGGCTAAATGCGAATAGCGTTAGTAAATTCCCATTGGGTCCTGCATATATTCTAAACCACAGAGTTTGTGGCAATGACTTTGGTCCTATTTTCTTTCAGATGTGAACGAGTGTAAAGCTGACCCATATATCTGTGGCCCAGGGATGATCTGTATCAACGTACGTGGTGGCCACAAATGCGTGGATCGACAGTGTCCAGGAAAGTCAAGGTAACTGCGGTTTCCCATCAACTTCAGCTACTGAACTGAGTTAATCAAGTCACTTAGAATAGCCAAACAAAAAACGAGTATTTATAGGAAGTTTAACTTAGCCTCAGATAGTAAAGTAAGCAGAGGAAGTTAATTTGGTGGGGTTGTGCTAAGTTTATTAAGCGTCATACAGCAACATTAAAAGCGCAAGTTATCCTGGTTCATACCAGCCAGGCCTAGGTATTTTTGTGCCTTATGTTCTATTGGACGATGCGAAGTCTTGTTCTCCGATGACCCGAATTAGACACTTGCTTTGGTTTGCCCACTTGTCTCAACACCACCTGAAGTAAAATAGCTGGCCCGCACTACGTTTGGATTCAGCCTTCTCGTGTAGACATTTCAACGAACGACCTCCGCAGAATTGACGATTGCAATGAAACGCACTGCCTGCCCACGGATAGCTGGGCCTAAAGCTTCAGGACAGAGGGTTAAGTGTGGTAAAGAAAGCTGTGTTAAACTTGTGCGATCTGGAATAGAATGTGCAAAGTGAGGTAAAAATATGCCATCATAGATATGCTGGCCTTAGCCTTAGCGAGATAAAAACTTAAGAAAACGATTGATTCCCTCTGGTTCGGCACTGTGTGTATGGCTATAATGACTATAATGAAATAAATGAGACAGCTTGGCAAAGCTTGTGGAGCAAGCAACTGCTATGCGAGCTGTCTCACAGGAACCAGAGAAATTAGCCCCTCGATTGCGATGCGCAACTCCAGTACAGAACAGTGTAGTCAGGACGAACATAAGAATAACGATCCAGCGTTATCCGCCCTGCTAATCGAGGCTGCTCATAAAGATGCGTTCACCACATCTACTTCATCAGAGCCACGCACTACATCGAATACTGTTGGTGAACCGAAACCCTACGCCTCCGTTGTTGCTAACCGTTTAACAGAGACACCACCCATGGTAATCCAGCCCGCTGCCAAACTAGGTTCAGTTGATACTACCAACAACACCACGGGACTCAAAGCCCCATCAGTTTTCCAACCAAAGAAAGCAGCCACAAATCCCTCCAAAAAGGAAAACATGAGACATTTGCATAATTCTCTGACATTTATATGCTCAAATTTGCCGCAATCTGTGTTGAAGCTCGTAAAGGTTAAGATATTAGATGACAGGAAACAGTGGGACTCCTTGTGTCAATTAATAAGAGGTTCAAGCCAGGCCAGCCAGTAAGACGCATCTCCTTCATCATTCGAACTCCGTAAAATACGGTAAGCTGCGGTTACTCCAGGTAACGCTTCAGTCAGATGATGATTCAGTGGCAGTTCTCTTGTCGGACACTCGCCTCTGAACCAACAACATACATTATTCTAATTCTTCCAGAAGTTCCATGGAGCGAACGCCAGAAACGGAAAGTAAAATTGGACTACTAACGCAAAGGAATAGACGTAAAATCGCTTCTTGTTCAAGATGTATCCGAGCTTCAGACTCCAAGCGACCTAGCGGTTAAAGCGAATGACTTGGTTGAATGGCGCTTCATCCGAAATGCACTCGCCGTCGAAAATGTGATCCCCAATTTGATCTAAATGTTGTTGTCATCACCTTACTAACGTGGGAACGGTCAACGTGTGCTAAAAGTAAAGCTAAAAAGCAAACCAATGACGAAGAAAGTGCTGGAAACGCGGTCGAAAATGCAAAAGAAGCTGCCATCTGGAATACATATAAAGTAAACAGAAGCCAGGCCAAAAAGCGACGAGATGGTGATGAATATGCAACCCTTTTGTGTGCCCCCGTCAGGATGCTGCTCAGAAGAGGGATGCAGTCAAAACACTCCGTCCGATGACGAATTTCTAAGTTTGCAGCCACCTACTGACGCCGAGAACTCTACGTGCCAATCTGGAACCGCCCGGATGCCAGCGATTACGGTTCAACCCAAAAGCGTCTGATGGTCAACTCCAAAATGGTCGGCATGACCCCCCACCCAGAAACGAAATCTACAAATACACCGCTAACATCTGAGACCCTCACCTGCTTGTATACTAACGCTCAAAGTTTTGTCAATAAGTTAATCGAACTAAGTACTCCTTGGGCTTCCATTCCTTGGGATCTCGCCATGATAGCTGAAGCATGGCTGCGTAATAAGGTCAGTGACACCATGGTAGCCCTACTCGACATGACTCTCCTACGTAACGACCCATCCAGCAGAGAAAGCGGAGTTATTTTGTTTTATAAATCTGATATGCATATCTATATCCTGGAGTAACCAGATACGCAAGTTGACGATTCTCCCTGGTGCCAACTGCATATTAAACGTAGTGATTTATGTTAACATGCATTTATATACCACCAGGAGCAGGCGTCCTATGGCTGTTCCCATGGAGGTCACAGTGACAAGCAAATCCGGATACGGCTGTCGCTAATTCTTACCGCCAAATATATGCAAGCCGAATATATATATATATATATATATATATATATATATATATATATATATATATATATATATATATATATATATATATATATATATATATATATATATATATATATATATATATATATACCCCATGCTGAGGCTGATGTTGCATACATGATACCTCTTCACCGCAGTTGGGCTAAACCAACTTACACCTAAGCTTGGTCTTTCTGGGTTGAATAAATTTCACTCCCCTTTATCTGGTTTGTTCTGCCTACCGGAATAATCTTCTGTTAGCTTGCACTCGTTGCTTATGCGAATTGTGGTTATCATATTTAACTTCGTCGCGTTTGTGGCATTTTTTGTAAAACCTATAAACCATTTGTACTTATGGCGGATTCATTGCTAACCAACTTACTTCATATGGTAATTTAGCGAAGAGTTATGACACCTTATCTGTATGCATTACTCGATTTATTTTATTTTATCTTGTCATTTCAAGTGATCGGCTGTTTTTAACACCCTTGGTGTGACTGCGATTGATGTACATGTTGACAGCCTACCTACCTGTTTATTACCCACTACCTAGTCCATAATGCCTTCAGCAGACAGATGGTCATTGCTGGAAGGGACGGAGTGAACGGTCCCTGTGACCATGCTATGCTCGAAGAGTAGTTCCCTGCACTCAGTGTGGAGCGAATTACGGTGCAGCAACCGCCTTGTGTGCGCTTGATTCCCTAAATACAGTGTGCTTGTGTTTGCCTGTGAAGGAGTGTGGGCCGTCTCCGTTGATGAAACACGGCTCCCATCCACATTCCTTCCGGCCTTATTCCTTCGGGTTTACACTGAATATGGGGTGTGTGGTTGGAACTGTGGATGGTGCAGCATAAGCCATCCATGGTCTGTCTCTAAACGCAGGCGTCCTGTGGCTGGCCACATTGACAGGAAAATCCGAATCCCAATGCCGCCAACCAACCATATACTGTCATCCAAGACCCACCCTGGAAACGGGTTACAGCCTGGCGTCGTCTATGAAGCAAATCCTAGCATGGTCAAACGGTCACATCCTTTTGGTGGGGGACTTCAACCTGCACTCTATCGAAATCCAAGTTTTGCTGCATGAACAATTCAAAGCGGACCTGCAAGGCGTAATAGCTGATATACCGCTATACAATAACGTCACCATTCCCACGAAATTCAGAAATGGCAACCAACCGTCTGTTTTAGACATTGTGTTCACCAACGAGGATCTAATGATGGATGCAGTAAGCATAAGTACACCGCTTGGCAGTAGCGAACACGCGACTTCTGTCTTACGCTACATCAGCCAAGCAGTGTACACCTGTGAAAACGACGAGAAAGTGCACAATGTCACACATTAAGTTACAATAACTGACTTCGTTCAAGTAACTAATTGGTAGTTCATAGCTGAGATGCCTTCCGACGTTGCCTAGAAGAAATTTGTCGCCTTGTTCAGCGGGCTAGTGGCAACCAAGTCTGAAACCAGTCTTTCGCCAGAAGCAAATGAAGTGCTTCCTGAGGAACCGGACGAGAATCTTCCTGACCCTAAGGGATTCAGTCTGGTGCGCTTATAAAGCGTGTGTGGATGCACAGGCCCTGTGATGCCTATATCACTCAGCGAAATCACTGTCACATTAGTACGCTACGACAAACTTAAACAACAATAGGGTTTAGCGAGGAAATTCACGTATACTAGCTCCGGAGGGTACAGCGTGGGATCTTGGTCATAAGTACAGTAGGTAGTCTGGCGCTCACTACACACGTTGTGGCGAAAGTACTTTGGCAACAGTTTATCTACACTTACCATAATGAATCGTCTCCTCACCCGTGCATGACACAGCTCACTGTGTCCCAAAACTTAAGCCACTTATTCTTCCCCGCTGCATAGGTGATGAACAGCTACTTTTCCTGTGCGTGCACATCTCTCCTGGCTTGGACAATATCAGATAGCAAGCATTAAAAACAGTAGCCGTGAACCGCTGAAGCGTTGGTCCGCTGCTTCCAACGAAGACTTAAGGAAATGCAGGTTCCGTCAATGTAGAAACAAGGAATAGCCGCTACTTTTCTCAAGAGTGGAAATCGTTCTGGACCTACTAAATACCATCTAACCACCCACCTCCAAGTGTTATCCAAAGTTATGCAAAGAATAATCGCATAGGTGCTCCTGGAACACCTTGACAGCGACAACATCATAGTGTCACAACAGCACGGATTCCGCCGAAATCCGTCCTACACTACAAACTTGTTCCTAGCATGAGCAAGCTGGACGAAGTCAGCCGATGCCAGACAAAAAGTCGACGTCGTACACCTGGACTTGCTAAACCACCACAATCTTCTTCACAAAATTCAAATTTATGGAATCAGTGACTCTGTGCTCCGTTGGATGGGTAACATCCTCAATCGACGTCAACTAGATGTGAGAGTCCGCAGATCCACCTCCGACCCAAATGAAATCCGGTGTGGTGTGCCTAAGGTGCGATACTGGGACCACGTTTATTCTTAGCATTCATCACTTGTCTGGCTAGAGTGCTGCAGTCCAACAATTAACTATTTGCAAACGTCGTCAAGATCTGGCATGATA